GGATCCCCAAATTGTGAGGCTCAGGGAAACTTCCCCCAAAGGGACTTAGACCAGGTTCCTGTCTTCCTGTGTTACATCCAGGAGACAGAAGTAGAAGTGAACAAAACTGCAGAATTAGCTGAAAGGCAGGAGAGCACACATCAGCATGGGTACAGGAATGGTTCCCACCTAGGCTGCGGTCCCCGTTTCATTTGACAGAGATGGTACCCAGGGTGGGGCCTTACTGAAGGCTAGGAGGCAGGATTTAGGGCAAGTGCACAGTGCATGTAGTGGTCTTCATGAAGGTGTCAGGCACCTAATGCCTTAAGTCAAGCGAGGACTAGTTGCATGATGAGGTGTGGATGTGCTGAGCCTGCAGTCAGGTTGAATCAGCGTGGATGATCATGGGCACAGGGCTTTGGTGTTGCCATCCTTAGCTTCTTAGTGTCTTGACTCCTTGCCTTGCCCACATCAGTGCCTCCAGTATGCAAAACTGGATACAGTCCTAATGTCTTTCAAGGGCTGAGTTTGCCTTCGAAGGAATCATGAACTGAGGGAAACAACCTGGGCAGAAACCAGAGTTTACTTTGATGTGGATCCTAGAATACTATTATATGAAATTATTTACACCAAATTTCCTCCAGGAAGTCTGGCAAGGAAGAAAATGAAAACAGGTAGTGAGGATTTTGGTAGGGGAAAGGAAAAACAAAAAGCCTATAAAGCACTTTTGAAGGCAGGTGGGTGATGCAGTGGTTAGGATGCTGCTTGGGATGCCCATGTGCCACATCAGAGTGCCTAGATTTGAGTCCTGCATCTGTTTCTGATTCCAATTTGCTGCTAATACACAAACTGGGAAGCAGCAACTGGTGGCTCAAGCACTTGGTTCCCTGCCTGCACAAGGTACTCCCTAGTCCTAGGCTCCCAGCTACAGCCTGGCCTAGCCAGCCATTGCAAACATCTGGGGGAATGAACCAAAAGATGGAAAATCTCTAGCTGCTTGTCTTTTTGTGTTCCAGATTGTCAAATAAATAAAAAGTATAAGATTTTTTATAAGCTTGTCTTTATGTGGAATAAGCTAAAAAGCTATAGAATCAAATTTTCAGTGATAAAAAGAACCTTAGAGCTCAATTTCTCCTTCAAGACTTGAAAGTGAATCTTTCATCAGCTTCTGTGTGACAATGTTCTTGCTGCTCCAGGTGATATTACTTATGCATTCATGTGTCACTTAAATTTGGTGATAAGAAGCCCCCAGTTCCCAGAACATTGTTAGAGGTTATAGTTTCTCTGAAAGGCCTTTAGGCCTTTATTCTGCTGATTAACTAACTTCTCCCGTTGGTACAAATGGGAGGAAACAGTATTTGAACCTTAGGCTAAGAGAACCTTGATTTGTGGAGAATTGACGTTCATTCCAACTCAATTTACAGAGTGCTCACAGAAAGGTCTGAATGCTGCCCTGGGCATTAGCACTGATTTCAATCCCTGCTTTATTCTCATACTCACACATTATTTACCACAATTCATTTTTCTTTTGGCTATAGTACTCTAACATAGCACATTAGTTGTGATATAAACCTGCTAAATATATACAAATCTTGAGGGAAGCTAGACACATTGTAACAGCAACACTTGCATGTTGATACACTAGTAGATAGCAGTATGAATACATAAATCCCTTCCACACCAAGTCAGTCTGAAATTAGCATTTTTCTCTTGAGCATCTCAGAGTACTCACATGTCAGAAGCTGTGAGCAGGTCATGACAGCCCAGTCCAGGTGCAGGCCTGCAAGAGCTGAGCATGAGTGAGCAGTAGTTTTTCTTTCCAACTAAACTGGAAGTGTGCTTGAACCCCAGGAGGAGATTCAGGATGCTGGGTCACTTACCTTACAGCACCTCCTCTATGAATGGGGGCCACTTGGACTTGCAGGCCTGCCCTTAGATACGCTGTATTCTCGGTTCAAACTTTAACATGGCAAATTGTTTCAGTCTGAATTAGAGAGTTGTAATAAAGTTGAACATTCTGTTTTTAAAAACGATTTTAAAAAGCAGAATTGTCATTGTCTAGTTAAGAAATATTATGACTTACAATTATTTTTTCAGGAAGTCAATTATGTATTGCCTTGAAGTACCAACATTATGAATATTAATTATTGATGAACTAGCAGGTGAAAACACATTAATGCACTCTTTGAATAATATTCCAAACACATTTCTCAATCACTTTTTCAACATAGTCTGTAAGCATAAATGCTGACATAGCGTCAATGTGTGTTAGACATCATCTTCAGCAGACCTTGTTGGGTGTCATCCTGCCCAAGAGTTTCATTATTTTGTCTCGGATTCTCCTGATTACAGTGTCTTTCATAGGTTTTGTGCAGGCAGATTTGGAGGGTAGCTTCTGAGGGCATGAATGAAACTGGAGAGAGACTAGGAAGAAGAAGAGCCAACACAGATATGCATTATTTAGGCCCCTTGGATATGCAACAAGGCCACAGTTCTGCTTGACCTCCGCAAGGGCACTGAACAGATGCCCTTCACAATTGTGCCCAGCACAGAGGTGCTTATCCACACGTTTCCAGGACCCACAGGTCAAGGGGTGCCCACAGGGCAGAAAGCAGAGAAGCCAGGCCTTGACTTCCAGCAGGGAAGTGAGACGAAGCAGCCAGGAACAACCCCCTGCACACACAGCTATAATCACATCAGAGATGAGGAATGCAGCCAGAGTGACAGAGCCTTTGGCATAACTCTTATCACCTCATTTCACAGAGAGGAACCTGAGGTCCAAGGCCACAGGGTAAGCCAGTTGTATAGACTAATCTAACCTCAGAGCCCCTGGTTCTCACTCTATACCACTGCCCCTCCTGTACGACAGGTGACGGCAGTGTATCCCACTCCCTCCTTGTGTAGTTCCACTTAGAGATCAGTTTGAACTCCGTCTTTGTGATATCCATGGAAATGTTACATTTTTTTTTCCTTTGGGAGTTCATTTTCTTTTAGTAGCAACAACTCGGGAAAATGCTATTGTGATGCTGCCATCTGAATTATGAAATAAAAAAGAATATCTTCCATATATGACCATGTGGAAACAGAGAAGAAAATGAAGGGGAAAGAAAGCAAAGCTCACACAACTTTGAGTTCAAAAATTGCTTTTCAATTTTTTATTAAAATGTTCTTCGGAGTATAGAAACACATCTGGTGATGACCTGTTAGAAGTCAACCATCTGCTTCACATGTGCATAAGAAACGTACCCAACCAAATCCTGATGCATCAGCATTTAGTAAATTGTACATGTATATAGTATTACAATGACATCACAGGGGCTACATTCGACAGATGTCTCTAGATGAACACACTGTCTGGCAGATTATTTTTCATATTGATGGAGGTTGTTACAATGATGAAGGTTTGGAAAGATAAACTTGGGGGGGGGGCACGACACTAATTACCAAGGCAATGAGCCACAGATGCCATGCACATAGGGTCCAGAAGGCAGGGGGCCACAAGGCAGCCCTGTTTCTTCTGCGAGAAGACTAACACAAAGAGGAAGGGACTCCCTCTCCAGCGATCAAGTCCTGGCGTTCTCGATCAGGAATCACAAGATGTCACACCCAAGAGAACACAAAGACAAGAAAACCTTCCTTCCCATGGACAGAGCCTGCTCGGAGATCAAAGGGTCAGGGTGGCCACAGAAGGCAGTGTGTGACGACCACGGCCTGGAGGTGTGGGTTGTTGCCCATGAGGACCCACTGCGTATCAATCTTGTTTGGCACCCCCAAGTACTCTTAACAAGAACAAGATGCTCTAGAGAGAAAGGCAAAGCTGATTCTCCATTTCCCTCCTTATGAATGAAGCTTCAGGGTTGGAGAGGCTGGGGGGATTCAGCTGCCTGAACCCACTCCCACATGGATGCCAATCACCTCTAAGTCTGAGCAGCTGGGACACTGACTTCCCTCTTCTACCCACTCTGGCTTCTGATGGAACTTCACTGGGAAGGGCACACCTGAGCCAGCGTCACCTTAGCAGTTAATACCTTGCTCTATTTCTTGATGTTATGCTCTTCCTCTATGTCCACAGCAAGAGGAGAATATTAGTTATACAGACTGAAAATGAGTTGTGGACTCCTCTTCAAAACAGAGCTCTCTTCATCATTCTCTTGCCAGTCCTGCACAGAGTCATCGTTTCTCATCGAGCATTTTCTAGCCTGAAATTTCCAAAGGACCCAGTTCACACCAACTGTGCATTTCAAATTATCCTTTTTAATTCCAAAAGTTTGCATAAAATAATTCTTTTAAGTAGACCTCATTCATAGTGATGGATAGGTAGCACATTTCATGTAATGGCAGGCAGAACAAACCAAAATGCTTCTGCACCTCTAACCTTCTCTGACTCGTTGAGAAAACACACAAAGAGATAAGACACAGTGGAGGGCTGCAGGGCCTCCCACTCAACACTGACACTGATTGGGGATACAAATGCATCTTTAAGAGCTTGGAGATACCAAGAGAATATCAGGGAAACCAAGAACTCCTCCCTGGGCACATCTACTAGCACATGTGTCAAACAGAGGTGGAAGAGCCAGCCTTTTCCTATGTCCCTGTGAAAGAGGAAGAACGGCATCAAGAGAAGTACCAAATGTATAACTGGGGGGTTCCAGTAAATGGTGTCAGGTGCCTGTCCTGTCAACATAAAATGCTTTCCAATTTGAAAGTTAGCCAAATGGGCCTCCTCTTTGTGACCACCTCACTCTGTAGTTACCCTAGGCTTCCCTTCCAGTGCCTCTGCTCCATTTTCGTTTATGGACATGCTTCTCTCTGTTCTCTGTGGTGCCTGGAGGAGTGAGCAATCTCCATAATATGTCTCTGGAGTACCCATTCCAGACCATCTCCAAACTCCAGTTTTCACCCCCTCAGAGAGGTATGAGCTGGGACACAGAGAGCACTCCTTCCAAAAGAGCACATCTAATGTGATACGGAATTTCCTTCCATCAGAAGATGTAGGGTCACACAAGAGGATCAACTGGAGTGGCTGATAGCTGTGAATAGATCACACAAACTGTAGGGCCAGACTGTGTGTGTTGGGGTAGGGAGAGGGAATGGGCAAGAGACAAGAACACAAGCCTCCCGGCTTCTTCCAGGGTTCCATAGTCCTGGCTAGGAGTCTACCTTGGGGAAGATGCTCACTTTGTTGTTTCTGGTCATCTTCCGCTCCACCCTGCCCACCCTGGGTATCTTCGTCTGGATTAGCTCTTCTGGGGTGTTCCCCAGTGGTGGGAGCAGTCTCTTCTTGCTGTGCCGGCTCTCCGAGAGCCACTGAGGAGGCAGCTCAAAAGGCCCAAAGCCAAACTGCAGGGAATACTTCTCAGGAAATATCTCAGGATCCATAGCACCTATTGGTGCCACCTGGGATGTAGAGTCCACCACTCCTGGGGGTGGGGCCAAGGGTACAAACCGTGGCCCCTGCTCTCGGTCTAGGCAGCCAGGGAGCATTTCCTTGGCTTGGATGTCAGCTGAGCTGGCATATTTGGCTTCACTCTCTTCCTCTTCCTCTGTAGACTTAAAGATTTCCTGCTGCCCGATATGGAACATCTCTAGGAGCTGGCTGCCCGACCGCATGCTGGGTTCCAGGCTGGCATCGGGCATGCTGCTCCCCGTGCTAACTACATTCCGGCGGCTGTAGCGGTGGTGCAACTGCACCAAGGTCCCCATCAAGCACTTGCGAACAGATTTGTTCACGGTAAGAAAGAGCACGGGGTTCGCCAGCAGAGAGACTTTGGGCAGCCAAATAGCAGTGAGCAGCAAGAAGACAGAAGTGTTGGGAACATTGAGCACGGTCTGATAGACCACGAGGGTGGCATAAGGCACGCTACACAAGATGAAGACCATCACCATGGACAGCAGTGTGGCGTGCAGTTCAGCCTCACGCTGGGAGGCATAGGGGATGGAGATGGTGTTCTGCGGGGTCCGCAAGGCAGCTATGATGACCTTTTTCTTCTGGCTGGCACTGAGGGCCCGTCGGATCAGGATCAGGAAAAGGAAGACCACAGCCACAGGCACAATGACTGTGGTGATGTTGTAGATGAGGACATAGACCAGGTGGCCCAGGGAGTTGCTCCAGACTTCCGTGCAAGTGGACATGGCATAGATGTCAGCCACATTGGTCACTGCAAACACCGGGACACTGGCCACCACCGCGTGGGCCCAGATATATATCACCAGTTCACGGGACTTGGCATCAGATATCTTCCTCTCCAGTGGATAGAGAACAGAATAGTACCTGCAAGATACACACACACACACAGACACACACACACACACAAACACACTCTAATTTCACGGAAGGAAATACTCTTCCAACCAGGGGATCTACCCTACCAAAAGTAGGTGAGAAGGGAAAAATAAGTCAAAAAATTTTGGGGGGTTGGGAGAAAGGATGGGAGGCACAAAATAGAAGGAACCACTGAGGGGAGGGGAGGGGACAGATCCAGGAAGCCAGACCTTAATTTTGAGGACTTTAGACTACCAAACAATGCACAACATCCTAGACTATATTTTTGAAAAATAATATTGGGACTTCCTAAGAATTTTTTATTTTTCTGATTTCATATAGTACTTATAGGCTTTTCAAACTTACATTTCCTCTTTTACATTGATTGTACCTTTTGCCTTTTTGTTTTGTCTTCTTTTAAAAAATTATTTGTTTTTATTTGAAAGGCAGATTTCTCTGGATTCATCCCCCAAATGGCTGCAATGATCAGAGGAGAGCCAATCCAAAGCTAGGAGCCTGTGGATGACAGATCCGTGAGTACCAGGGTTGGGGGTCTGACAGGGCCGGGTCACCTGGACCAGGTCCTTGGGCCTGCCTGCAAGAACTGGTCCTGCTCAGTGGAAGAGATGGAGCAGTGGACATCAGGCCCTGATGCACATGGAGGTTATGGCAGCACCTTGGGGCCTGCTGAAGACATCTGCTTCCACAGTGAAGGAAAGAGAATAGAAAAAGTTGGACAAGTACCCCAGGCAAGTGATGACAGCAAATATCTGGGTGAATGAAGATTAAGTTCTACTATGTCAGCCAATGGACATTGGAAGGGTTTCCTCATTCTTGAATCTGAGAGAGTGACAGCATTTCAGAACTATCGAAACCACCTGGGCAGAACCCTTGAGGCATGTGCCACATTGATATTGGGTGACCATTCCCTATCCCAGGATACTGGAACAGTTGGAAGGCTGGGCATGGCTTCTTCCCTTATCACTGTCCCCATCCCCCGGAAACAGGAAGGAGAAATTGAAAATTTGGAAACAATGATCACACCTACTTTTCCCTAACCCTTGATCCTTCCTACCCTTTCCAACTATGTAAACAGCATCTAAATAAAAAAGAAGAAAAATAATACCTTGCCAAAACAGCAAGGAATAGCCCTGTATTATAAGTGAACAAGTTAATAATTTTAATTCATAGTTAATTTTATAATTACTGCCATATTAATCACTCAGTACTCCAAAAGCAATTGATATGTCTGAGATGCCTATGCTATTAAATTTCTGTTAAAATCAAATGAGTTTCTTTTTTCCTCCAAGCTTTCATTTGATCACTTTCTAATTGCCAATACAGAGCTCTGAAGTACTTTGCTTCAATGCCACTAGTGATCTGAGAACCTAGTACTGCCTGAGACCCCAGCTCACAGCTGCCATCCCAGATATGATCCATTTCCTCACTGAGCTGAACCCTCATCAGTGCAATCAGGTATTGCTGGGCTTGACCTCTCAACTCCACTGACCTTCACTCATCCACAGGGTCAGTCAAGTATGTATAACTTCCTTTAACAAGAGTCCCTGGACACCAGGAGCCAGGTGCTGTACCAGGCCTTGGTTTACAAAGATGAAAAGACAGATAGGAACATCTCCAAACCCAACAGAGAGAAAGACACATACAATCACCATCAGCAAAGAAATGATAGCTCTACTGGAAGCAGACACCAACGGGATGCAGGGCAGGGAGCATCTCAAGCTACCTGGGAAAATATCAAAGAGCAGGCATCACTGTGGAGGAGTCTGGCAGGGGAACACACTGGGGGAACAGGTTCCAGGCAGAAGGAGCTGTGACTCAAAGACAACAGAAAGCACAGATGATCAGGGAAGCATACAGCATGGTGACATGCATTCTAGATTTCTTCTGAAGGAAGAACAAAAGAAAGAAATGCTTACTAAGTGATGACATTCTCATAATTTGGGGTGTCTAACTATGGCTAAACTTTTCTAGTAACAATTTTCTAAGTATGTTATGGCCCCACCCCATCCATGAATTCATGTCTAGGAGCCCACTGACAGATTACCTTGTGTAATGACACATGACAAACTCAGGCTTCCATTAATTTCCAATACTATTATGCATTGGGAAACAGGCTGCAACGCAAGTGCACAGGCTCAACATAAACAATTGTCTTAGTGTGCACATTTAAAGATGAAACAGGAAGTGAAGGTGGCCTCCCAATCATATTGCTGACTTGGGGACCATGAAATCAATGGCTGCAAAAGAACAAACATTTTGCTTGTCTTCCCTTCTTCATGTGCACTGCATTTCTACTTGCAAGAACTGTGTCATTCAATAATAAAATAAGAGTCTACCAGTCTTGCTTTTCTGTAAAATGACTTCTTTACCTTTTTGCATTAATAATGGCAAAGAAAATAAGGAAAAGAAGTAAGGATTTTTATTGTTTGCTTATTTCTTGTCTAAGATTGATGACCCAGCAATAAACAACAGGGATTATTGCATTGCTTCCAGGTAAAACACCAAGCTGTTCAGAATAATGTGTTCCCAGTGTTGCTGAATCCAATTCTTAACACACCTTCAGGATTCATAGCAGTATTGTTTAAAATATTCAAACAGAGAAAACAGCTCAAATGTTCATCAGACAGTAAATGAGAAAAACAAAATGTGGACTGCTCCTGAAGCAGAATATTATTTGGCCATTAAAAAAATGAGGCCAGTGTTGTGGTACAATGGATTAAGACACCACCTGCAAGGACATCTGGTACCACAGCAGAGGACAGAGGACAGAATAAATCAATAAACTACCCTGCCAAGAGTTGGCAGTGAAAATCTGGGCAAACAGAGACTCTGAGGTGGACTATGTCAGCCGATGGATTCTGGAGAGATTTCATCATGCTTGGATGGCGAGACTGGCAGTAATTCAGAACTGTTGAACTATCAAAACCACTTGAGCAGTGCCCTTGGAGCATGCCCCACATCAGGGCATAAAATAATTTTAAAAATAATTAAAATAATTTTTAAAAAGACTCCACCTGCAATGCTGGCATTCCATATGGGCTCTGGTTCTAGTCCTGGCTGCTTTACTTTCAATCCAGCTCCCTGAGCAAACAGCCAAAGACGATCCAGGCCTAGGGCCCCTGCACCATATAGAAGACCTGGATGAAGCTCCTGGCTTTGGCCTGGTCCAGCCCCAGCCACTACAGTCATTTGGGGAGCAAACTAGCAAAAGAAAGATATCTCTCTATACATATCTCTCTCTGCTTTTCCTGTTTCTGTGTGTGTTGCTGTACTTTTCAAAAGGATAAAATAAATCTTTTTTTAATGAAGCACTGCTAATATGCTATAACATGGATGAACCTTAAAAACATGCTACATGAACGAGGTTAGATTCAATAGGACAATGAAAATGCATTTGTATGGAATATTCAAAGAAAAAAAAACATGTAGGGCCCGGCGCGGTGGCGCAAGTGGTTAAAGGTCCTCGCCTTGCACGCCCGGGATCCCATATGGGCGCCGGTTCTAATCCCGGCAGCCCCGCTTCCCTTCCAGCTCCCTGCTTGTGGCCTGGGAAAGCAGTCGAGGACGGCCCAAAGCTTTGGGAACCTGCACCCGCGTGGGAGACCCGGAAGAGGCTCCTGGCTTCGGATCGGCGTAGTATCGACCCGTTGCGCTCACTTGGGGAGTGAATCATCGGATGGAAGATCTTCCTCTCTGTCTCTCCTCTCTGTACATCCGCCTTTCCAATAACAAAATAATAAAAATAAATCTTTAAAAAAAAAAAGAAAAAAAAAACATGTAAAGAAAATGGATGAGAGATTGCCAAGGACTGGGGATGATGCTGTAGAGTGACAGTAAATGGATCTGAGGGTGACCCCAGGTTATGGAAATGTTCTGTAATTACATTAAAGTAATGGCTATACAACCCTATAAACATGCTAAAACTTACTGACTTGTGTGCACAGTAATTTGATGAATTTTGTAATATGCAAATTACACCTCCAAACTAAAGAAAATAAAAATTCAGAATGCAAACCTGAGGACAACACAGCACCACAGCAGGTTGCATGTGCAATGGCTGGAAGGATATGAGCCGGGGACACAAACTGCATCACAGCATCCACGAGAGTGTGGACCCCAAAAAAGAACTCTGATTTTATTCACTGTTAAACTCCAGTCCTTTTCAATGATACTTCCCAGATAGTCAAAGATCTCTTGTTGGGCAATTGAAGGAAGAAACAGGATATTCACCATAGAGCAGTCATAGTAAATTGGCATCATATGGCACATACTCAGCATGTTAAAGAAAATTCGGTAATCCATAGCATACTTTTTGAACAAAAACTAATTGAAAACATTTTAAAAATCCAAAATTTTTTCATTTTTGCATTTTCCTCATTGAAAACAGAAAGTCCTGTCCTCTAGAACAAGACACCCCCAAACCAACTGTTTCCTGTGACTAATAAGTGGCTGAGCCCTAAGAATGGTAACTGGAACTCACTCTCCATGAATCACAACCCCCAACCTGGCCCTTGACTTTGTCCCTTGATTTTGTCACCTTTCTTGACTGTCCCTGTAAATAGTGAGATTCTAATTCTTCTACAGAGCAGGAATGGTTCCCAACGAGACCTTACAGTAAAGGGTCTGTAGAGAATAAATCTAAGGATGGATACACTAACTGGAAAGGATTTTAAGAGAAAGAGGAATATATTGGTAGGGTCTATTCTAGTGCATGCCATAAATAAGTCATATAATCATTCTTTTTTAAAAGATTTACTTACTTTATATGAAAGGCAGATTTTACAGAGAGAAGGAAAGATAAAGACAGAATGGCTTTCATCTGCTGATTCACTCCCTAATAGCCGCAACAGGGGAGCAAGGCTGAACTGAAGCTGGGAGCTAAGAGCTTATTTCTAGATCTCTTATGTGGATGTAACATGTAATGTTCGGCCATACTCTGCTGCTTTCCAGGCCATAGGCTAGGAGCTGATCGGCAGTGGAGCAGTTGGGACACAAACCAGCACCCATATCGGATGCCAGCACCACAAGGAGGAGGTTTAGCCTACTGCACCATGACACCAGCCCCACATTTAATTCTTATAGCTGAGGAACCAAGGCTAAAATTGCCTAGGTAAGAGCTATGAAGCAGGTCTCAAAACAAGACTTCTGACTCTTGAGTTCTCAGCCCCAAATGCAGTGACTTCACCCAGCTGCCAAGGGCTGTCTGGGACGCTGCATCTCTTCATGCAAGCAACATGGGCAGGCGATGCAATCAGTGTTCCAGGCCTGAGGGGTGGAAGGGATGCCAGGTATACTCCCCACAGATCGCTAGTGTATTAAGCCTGTTTTGAACAGACAAGGGATTTAAGGATTTTGAATTCACTTAAAACTTACTTAAATTTTAAGAAAAACAACAAAAGTCAGAACAAACATCACTTTCTCTTCTACAACATGTCACCTCTGTAAATCTTGAGGTCAAAAGCAATTCATAGACACGAAATACTTTTCATTTCTTGTTTGCCTATTTAATTCTGTTCTCTCAAATGTAGTGTTATCTAAATTGTACTCATGAAGTGCTAACAACAAAGGAAAAGGAAGGAACTACTGATTGCTGAAATTGTCACATCTTACTGGAACACATTTGACCATATTCTTTCCAATGGTAATAACTAAGATTTAAGAGTCATTTCAAAATTACCATTCTTTAAATGAGGACAAGGAGGAGCACACAGGTAAGACTTAAACTGGTGGCGTTGGTGTCCTTCCTGGGAACCATGGACCACCTTGGACTGTGCTCCACTTCCCATCCAGCTCCCTGCTAATGTGCCTGAGCAAGTATTGGAGGATGGCCAAAGTCCTTGGGCCCCTCTACCCACATGGGAGACCTAGAAGAAGCTCCTGGCTCCAGGCTTTGGACTGGCCCACCTCCAACCTTTGTGGTTATTTGAGGAGTGAACCAGTGGATGGAACCTCTCCCTTTCTGTCTTTCCTTCTTTTTCTCTATGTAACTTTGCTTTTCAAAGAGGACAGGAAGAAAAAGCAGGTGGTACCACCACCACCAGCACGTGATGCCTCAGAAATAAATCTACCAGAAGAATTCTGCTGTGACCTGGTCAGGCCCAAATAGCCCATTTATAAAATAACCACTACATCCCTCGCATCTCCACAAATGTTCTCATCCTGTATAAAAGAGCCTTGATTGCAGTTATCAATCAGATGAGAAATCTACTACAAACTGCAATGTAAACACTAATTCCAACCAAGCTGAAGCAGCACCAGGATCCTGCAGCTCTGTCCCCATCCTCATCCTGTAACCTCACCCTCGGGTCTCTTCTCAATGATCCTACTTCCTGTCACAGCTGTTAAAATCAACTCTCCTTTGTGATGCATCTGTTTTGGGTAGCCATAGTTTTTCTGTGGATCACAGGCAGAATAAACACAGCGCATGGAACACTGACTATTCATCATTTCTTCACGGTGCTAATTTCTTCAATGCGCTTTCAAAAATGGAACTTGTGGCTACTGATCTTACCTGTCCAAAGCAATGGCAGGGAAGCTGAGGATTGTCACGGAGCAGAAGACTTTGTGCAGGAATTTCACGACCTTGCAGAAAAACATGGTGTAGATCCACCAGCAACAGTGAGGACTGGTGCTGAGGATGATGTCGAAGGGCACGCACACCAGACTGGCGCAGATACCCGAGCAGGCCAGGTTTTTAATGAACCTGTTGGTAACAGATTTGAACACGGTTGTGCGGCAAGTTGACCATAACACCGTGAAGTTTCCTGGCCAGGTATGCAAAGAAATAAAATAACAACATAATTTAAATAAAAAGGACAAAGAAAGAAAATACAGATTAAAAATATTTTAAAGCCACATATAAGATTTCAAATGTTGAATTCAAAGGATTTAAAACTGATGTTATATTGTCAATTTATGTGAAGTTATTAAAATACTTTAACATACTACAAAATGTAAAAGAAATACTAGTGGGGATGTTATTTAATTTTAGGCTTAAAGATATTGTAATGATGATGACTCAGTCTCATCAGTGTTTAAGTATTTTTCCAGGCATTATATAATGTCAAGCAGTCTACTCTTAGCAAGTAGGCTAATGACATCCATGTTGCCAAACCCTGTGGCACAAAAATGGCACAATCCATGGACATAATTTAAAATTATTTGATACCTATATTTTTAAGTATTAAACTAAAAGACAGTTGAAGCTTTAGTAACAATATATGTCACTTAAACCAGTATATCCAAAATATCATTTTAGCATGTAATTATCACTTAAAATTATTAATGAGATATTTTTCATTTCTGCTTTTGTGTCAAGACTTCAAAGTCCAGTGTCCATTTTACTTTACTCTTTCAGCACCTCTCAAGTTTGCAAAAGCCACATTTCCAGTGAGCTCCACTGCACTGGACAGCACGGTCCTGAAATCGTTACCACAACTGGCACAATCAACCATCTCTGAGCATTCTCCTCTTGTGGCTTCCAATTTCCTAGTCTTCCTGCTCCCTTTCACTTCTGCCAACCCCTGGCTGCTCCAAGACTTCTCCACAAGGTGTTCTCTCTCTCTCTCTCTCTCTCCCCCTCCCTCCTCCTCTTCCTCTCTCTTTTCTTGTTCTTAGGTTAGAGTACTCACTTCATGTGCCAAAGTAAGCCTCTCCTCTAAAATCCACTCTTGTTTCTATTTCTCTGATTCCTCAAGCCCTTTCAATTATGTCTCACTGTGGTGTCTTCAAAGGCCTCTGTAACCTGGTGCCTATCTGTCTCTTCTCAGACTTACCTGCTGACCTGGGTACAAGTCACTCGCTCTGACATTTTTTTTCTAGTTTTGAAACAAATCAGTTAAGCCTGCTTCGGTGCCTTGGCACACATTTTTAAACTCTGTTTAGAACATTCTTGATATGTTTGGTTCCTTTTAATCCAGGTCTTGGTTCCAGTGTTGCTTCTTCCAAAAGGCCTTATTTAATCATTTTACTTTTTTAAAAACTCACTAATTCTTTCTACATTATACAATGTTGTACTGTGTGTGCCCTTGATAGCTCTTATCATAATTATGGTTTATTTTTTATCTTGATTACATGAGGACAAAAGCCACATCAATCTTGTTCCCTAAAATAACTTCACGCCCAACTCAATATGTGGTACAAGAATAAGCATTTTGTAAAGATTTGCTGAATAAACAGTTGCCAAAACTCTCTGTGGAAAATTAAATCCTTTCTGTATGTTATGTCAAGGTATAAAGGTAATTTAAATCAGCAGAATCACTAAATCACTAACCATCTGAATGAATACTCTAGACAAACTGAATCATAGTCAATAGGTAGGGACTAGGAACCCACTGTTGTCACAAGTACCCCAGGACAGATGAGCTCACGTTAAAGTCTCAGGAACACCACTTCCAGAGTCCACAGTTCTGCCCCCACAGGGCTCTCATAGGGCCTTGCTTTCAGGTACACTGGGCAGTCTACGCCACAGGCACACTTTTATCATGTAAGATAGTCATGTCCCAGTGGTACTGCTCCCTCCCATGCACATGCTCAGAGAATGCCTCCTCCTCAAGTGAGCTGACAACTGTGCCACATGGTGAAAAAGGTGACCATGCAGAGCAAGAGGACAGCAGGGCAAAGGTACAGCCAGGGTCATGGCAAGAAGTGGCCTCTGCACTTCTTCAAACTCAGTGTTCTGTGGCTGCCCATTAAGTATCAGGCAAGGTTTAAAACAAAAACAAAAGGGCCCCTACATTTATGCATGTAAGCCATTTGCTTCCAGGAGACTTTCTACGTCTTGTTCTTTACATTGATATGCTGACTATGAGCATACATGCACAAATTTATTCTGTGTAATGGTTACTTATGCTGACACCGCTTCAAATTTTCCGCCAATGTAAGTCAAATGATGATATATTTCAAGCGTCAGTGGTTTTGGATTTCTCTTCCCTCACTCCACCTCTGTCCTTTTAATACAGCACAGATCTGAGTCTGGGTGAAGCATATTTCCTCACTGAAGCTTTACAACCAGGACTTACAATCTAATCATTACTTCATTAAGGAAATAACCCACTTGAAGAAATCTTCGATGATGACAATGGACGTATCTTGATATCTTTGGTGGTTAAGATCAGGGGAGGAACTTCCCATAAAGAAGATCCTTCCTTGTTATAAGTCAAGTCCTTTAGGGTTTGTTTTTTTCTGTCATTGTATCCTGTGTACACAGTAGCCAGTCAGTGTGCAATTCCTCCTATCCCATGTAAGTTTGATTTTCACTGCCTTTCTTCCTGTTTTTCTTGCTTTGTTGAATCCACCTATGGACCAGAATATTAGTGAAATGTTATTGCAGAAGAGACTATAAGAAAATTGGTGCATCATGCAGAGATAATGCAAAATTCTCTTTCTTGTTAAAAAAAAACATAGATTATTGTTTGTGCCTCAACCAATTAAAGTGCATGAAGGAAAAAAAATCTTCATGGTTTGGTAGATTATGCTGAATAAAACAGCTTAATAATAGAATAGGAAAATTCATAGTGAAAGAGAAGGCAGACTGTGGGCCAGAGGCCTTCCATTGGAAGCTTGTTTGGAAAAGTGAACTGTTTGGTAATAATGTTCATTACTACTCTCACACTCTCTCCCAAGCAACTTTTTTTCTCATTACCATAGCATACATGCAGTGTTACTGTACTTTTTCTTGGTAAAAGATCACATTTTAGCAACATATGGACTGAAATAATAATTTGAGGTCAAGGTATTCTGATTGTACGACAGAGTACCAGATATGTTAGAAACCATATCGGTGATATAATGAATGCCATGTTACACTTGGAAATGAGAAAACATGTCTTCAATGAATTTTTACTGAAAAAATCTGAGGATGTTAAAAAATTACATTATATCTCCATCTAGGTAAGACTCAGAATCAGAAACTAAATCCCTGTGCTAAGAATCTGAAGCTAGCAATGAAGCTAGCTTCCATTCTCTGCAGGACTGCTCCCTCTCTCCATTTAAAACAGACTCATTTGAATCCAAGAACCTGAAGTGTACCAAAATATCAGAAGAGGAACATACACACCCAACATCTGATTAGCCACACATTTCAAAAATGTGTGCATACATGTAAATACATATATAAGCATTCTCACACACAAATATACATATATCAAAGCAAGAAAACTGACTGTTTTGATGATTTAGTCTCAATAGCACTTTAGATCCTCCTAGGGTTTACAGGACAATCCAAGAATAGCTCAGTATATATTTAAGGAACCAGGCATTCAAACTCCAACTACCTTTTACTTTAGAGAATGTGCTCAAAATCACTTCACTTTCCTTAGGAATGATCCAAGCTCTGTATACATTCTTCCTACCGGGTATTCCCATTAGACTTTTAAATGCTGAAGTAAACACAGCAACATATTTCATACAGCTAGAGTAATGGCACTGGAACAAGTCTACTCAACCATTTTTCCTAACTAAAATGCAAGTAAAGATTTCCCTTTTCACAGTATACTTGATAGCCAAAAACAACTAACATGAAAGACACATTAACCACAACTTACAGGTAGTGCTCCATTGATAATGAAAGACCACTCAGTTAACTTTTTTCCAACTAAATATTACTTATGCAAATTTTGGCTGTGGTTAAACCTTTTATCTGGGTTAGAGGCTTTGCATGTTTGAAAGCAATGGTACTGGTGTGTTGAATAGACTCCTAATCAGAATGAAAAAGGTACTCCAAAACAGTCTTGGACAATGGTGTGTCTCTGAGAATCCTCCTAGGAAAATAGATTTAAAAGCTACCATCTTCCCTGAGACACTAAAAGCAGTGAAAAGAGTCACCATCATGATTTACAGGGTAACATATTACTCAGAACATTCTGAAACCTGAAACTTTAGAAAAGCTAATATAAACAAAAAAATATTAAATTACAAATAGAAGCCTAAGAAGATGAATTGACCTGAAGGAAGCTAAAGTGAACCTACAAGGGTTGGAAAGATTACAAAGGAACTTTTACATTCAGACAACAGCATGTGATGGAAGCGGACAGTCAAAGTAATAGTAACCTGGTAATACAGAAAAAAAGAAGAACGGCCAACTACTTATGTACAGTGGATTCTTCAAATGTCTTCTGTGAGCTTTAGCTTGCAGTCAAAAAGGCATCCAAGCATAAAATCTCTTGGGGTACATGAATTACATAAAGGGAATATTAGGAAATGCTTCTATTAATCTGCCAGGTAATATAGGAATGTCTTTTGGCGTGTCTTCATATTTAAAGTGAATTTCTCAGAGATATCATATAACTGGTCTTTGCTTTATTAGTTGATCTGACACTCTGTCTGTTATATTTAAACTATTTGCCTCTAATTTAATTTTTGACATGACTGAATAATTACAATCCACATATCTTCTAGCTCTTTGCTCTTTTCCCATTTGTTTTTTGTTCCCTTTTCCTATTTTTCTTGGTTTTCATTGAGTAACATATATTGTCATTTTAACAACCACCCAAAAGAAATAGCGCTTTTCTGGTTATACTCTAATTTGTTTACTGACTGTTACTGGACTTTTAACTTGTTTCTGATATTTCTGATTTCTCTACTACATACTATTCCTGATATTTCTCTTGTACATAATACTTAGATCAAAATCCTTATAAGCATAGATCTTTGTAAACTGAACAATATTGGTTAAGGAGAAATGCTTAGAAGAAATTCTTAGAAGCATAATTTCTTGGTCCAAAGGACTATGTGTTTTTTTTTTAAGATTTATTTTTATTATTTT